CTTTCAGGGGGACACACGCCCCCTATAGAAAAAAAACCCTCAAAAAAAAAAAAAAAAAAAGCTACTTGTCGTACAAAGAAGCACAAATATGCAATATATAACCAGAAGAAAAATCAATAGAAGAAGAACCAGAAATGACCGAGAGTCGGCAGATAAGAATCTTGAAACTTCTAATATAAATGTAACATGCTACATGATAAATATTCAAAACAAAATAAAATCTAAAATAAATAAAACAGAACCAAATAGGATATCTATAAATAACACATATACTATCTAAAATAAAATTTGGAAATGTAGAAAATAAGAAAAGTAACAAAACCACAAAAATAAAAATATGTGAACTACTAAACAATATGTTAAGAAATGTGAAGAAATTTTTTTCTGTTTTTAGAAGTTTTTCCCTTAAGGTGTGTGTGCTTACCAGAGAGATAAAGACAGAGACAGTGAGTGCAAAAGAGAGAAATCACCCCCAGGGGGTGATGGGATAATTTTTAGAAAACCAGGATTAAATAATCTCGCCAGGAAGATGGCCACACCACAATCCCTTCTCCTCCATTCTTCTCTCAGGATCTTGAGCACATACACACATGCATCCAGCATGAGTTTCAAGCCACTGTGCCTGGGACCTGAACCACAGTTGGCCATGTGGGAGTCCAGCAACGTAACTGCTACGTCATCTGCTGGCCCCAAAATGTGAGAAAATTTTAAGATTTTTACTGATACATAAAAACTGACTTGAATCAGAAACCGTAGATTTGGTATTAAGAAGAAAAATCAGGGCCAGCTGGTGGCATGATGGCTAAGTCAACTAGATCCCACCATGGCCGACTGTGTGGTTCAAGTCCCAGACTCAGTGGCTTGAAATACTCTCTGTGCATGTGTGTGTGCATGCCCCAAATCCCAAGAGGAAAGTGGAGGAGAAGGGATAGTGGGATAGCCATCTCCCCTGGAGGGTACTTTCTCTCTCTCTCTCTCTCTCTCTCGCTCTCTCTCTCTCTCTCTCTTTCTCCAACAAACACATGCACCCTATAGGAAATTCAAAAAAAGGAAAAAAGATCAAAGAATTTTTTAAAGAAATATAATCAATATTTTGTCTAACATTTATTAACTTTATCTTTCTCCCTTAAGTCATAAATTATAATTAATAGTATATTTCTGCCTTTTCCACAGGGCTTGGCAAAGTGCTGAACAATTTTTTTAACTCCATATATACATAATTGAAAATTTACAAAGCTGTGAACAGTCCAGCTTTACAATCTTGGACACATTTTTCACGTACTATACAGAGTAGTTTACATCTGTGCCATCTGAGGTTAAATCCAAAATGTCAGAGCTGGAAGGCACTTGAAAGATCCGTAAACTCAGAAACCCAAATTTCACAGACACTGAGACCAGAGCTTTGAGGCCCAAGGAGTGCTGTGCAGTATTAAAAATAAACAGTGCATGGTCTTTCCTCCAAACTGCTTGAAGCTGATGAGCCATCAACAGAAGAAGCAGTGTTTCCCTAGCCTGTCAGGTAGGTCCGGTGCTTTTTCAATCATTAAAAGAAGGGATGAGAGTTCAACTCCCTTCAACTACTGGTCATGAAATCCAGGTTCTCCCCAAATGACACTGGCTGCAATGACATGAACCAAATGAATGTTTTTAGCATATTTGTCGGCACTTATTCAAGGTGTACTTCCTTTAAATAACTTACTATGAAGTTCAAATTTCAAAAAGAAGGAATGAAAAGACATTTTATGGCCCTAAATAAAAAACTTGCCCACACATGTCACTTTTTTGAAAAACTGCCCTGATACACATTGACTTTTACTTGTTTCCTGTAGGCAAAACCCAGAAGGCATTCGCCTATAAGCTCCTGCTTATGGCGAAAGAATGTATCAGGGCTGCTTTGCATTCATTCTTAACCACTTTGGCCTTTTTAAAAAAAAAAAAAAATTAAACATTTCATATCATTGTTCTGGATGGTGGGACCCTATATTTGGTAGAACTGACAGTTCTGCAGAAAATTTTTCTTTCTTTTTTTTGGGGGGGGTGTAGGTTTTTGCCATAGGGCGCATGCACTTGCCAGACAGACAGAGAGAGACAGAGAGACAGAAAGCGAGAAATCACCTCCCAGGGGGGATGGCCACGCCACAATCACTTCTCCATTCTCCTCTCAGGATCTTGGGCATGCATGCACACGTGCCCAGCGTGAGTTTAAGCCAGTGGGTCCGGGACTTGAACCACAGTTGACTGCATGGGAGTCCAGGAACTGAAAATGCGATTTGAAAACGAAACAACTTGAATGGCTGCCATATAAATTTCAACATCGAAACTACTACAGGCACTATATATAACTAAATATGTATGGCATATTTTCTACAAACTCCCAACAAAATATATAGTATTCTCCTTTATCCATGGGGAACATATCCCAACACCCCCAGCGTTTGCCTAAAACCATGAATAATATCAAACTCTATATATACTATTTTTTCTGTACATAAATATCTATGATACAGTCTAATTTATAAAAATAAAAACAGTAGGGTCCAGTAGGTGTCACGGTGGTTAAGGTGCTGGACTCCCACATGGCTGACCACCAAAATTGTGTGACATATTAAATGCTTTCTGTTTTAAGCTGCTATGTTTTAAGTAACTTGTTGCACAGAAGTATATATATATATATATATAAAGTACATAACAGCTTTTATTTTGGGGATAAGTATGTATTTTCTTCTGTAGTATTATTGGATAATTTTTCTTCGCCTTTTTAAGATGTACATATTACTTCAGAAAATCCCTTAAAAACTAGTTTGGATAGATCCCTAAGCAAAACAAAACAATCAGAACCAATATACTC